AACCTTACGTATGTATGATGTATATATGTACTTTTTGAGTTATCACGAAAAAAAAAAAAAAAAAAAAAGAAGAGCATCGAGTTGCAAGCTGCGACAATTTTGTAGAACCAAATGCTTCTTACAGTCGAGACGATGCGTCTGCAAGATTTATATATTTCTTTTGTATGTAGTGTAAAGTTGAATTCCGCGCAAGTTTTAACAACCATACTTTGTATATTTCTGTAATGTCATTGTTGTACTGTCATCCTCGTAAATCTTTCCACGTACATCGCGTGAATTTTTATTTAAATAAACTGTACTTTTTGATATAAAATGATACCAATTCTCACAATCGGTATCAAAATCCTGCTTCTAATTGTGAGCTTTTGGGAAAACAACCATTCGAGGGACGTGCAGAAACTTTCATGGACTTTTTATTAAAATTGTTTAAACGCTTCATGGTTAATTTGACACTTCACATCATTACCGTAGTAAAAATGTTGTACGTTTCTTTCTCTAGTTTCAACACTTTAATTAATTAATTGCCTGCAGCATTGGTTACCGCCGACGCTCATGTCAATTAACGAGCTAATGATATCCAACAATGCAGCCGGAAAATCGAGCAATTAAACGAATAAAAAAGGGGAAGAAAACGGGAGAAACGAAGAAATATAAAAGGACAGTGTATTACATATCTACGTATCTATATTTTTGTTTTTCTTTTATTTTCATTTTGACGATCATTTCCCTACGCATCCATCATGTTTCATGGACAAAGTAATGCATGCGTGATCCACGTCAGAAATGTTGCACCGTATAAATTAACGCCTGGAGTAACGTTATCTCGATGATAGGTTCACGACGAGAGAGGTGGTCGCCGACATGGAACAATGGCCCGTTTATCGGCCTTAACGATCTATTATTCGACGTGGAAGACTGCTGGACGTATTAATGAGCCGTACACATTGTAGATTAATAGGCCGCGTTATTATCCGTGGAACAACGTGCTTCTTTTTCGTCGTACAATGAACATAATTCCAACAACAAACTGTTCGTCTTTCGTTGGCAAATACGCGATTCTAGATGCGCAATGATAGCATTGTGAAAGGAAAAATGCTGATCATCGCTGCGCCAGGCGTCATGGTGTCTTGTTTAAAAGGGAAATTCGACGGTGCAACGAGATTTAATTTATTGCCGTATTTTCCGTGACGCGAGTAGGTTAATCATATAGTTTTATCTTATAGTGCGTACGCTGTTTCTATGAAAACATTTTCATTAGATCAGTTAATGCGTATAATGTACCATTATTGCCGTATAATTCGTACACGTGATATTATCACGATACATTTTGTTATGATTTTACATTGGAAACTCTCTAAGATCAAATTACTTGGGATCTTAAAACATTCCTCAACTCAAAGTGGAAATTTCACTTTTCTTTCTAGTGTCTTTCATTATTATTTCTGCCGATCATATACAAGACATTTTCAAGTTCCTTCTCTTCCTTTTTTAGTGTCGCAATGTTTCCTTTAATACTTCCGTGCTGCTCTTTAATACCAATTACAGCACACGATGTCCTTTTATTGTTGGAACTCGTTATTCAGAATTTCTACACACTCCTTTCATCTAATTAACGCAATTACTATCGACGAACTACAGATGCTTATGCGACTATAATTTTATATTTATACGAGGATAATTAAAAAAAAAAAATGGGGCCAAGACAGAGGCAATTATTTCGTCTTTAGTTAAACACTAGAATTTTGAAATCTCCGAGCATTTCACAAACATGTAAAAATCCAGCAGTTTAATCATCAGAACCTTCTGAACTGTCAAACGGAAAATTGCTCTCGAACATGGAAGGTCCAGGCGAAATTTTTCACGAGCAAGCGTTATATTTGATGTGAGTAGCGACAGAGAAAAAGAAAGACAGAACTGGAGAAAGAGAGAGAGAGAGAGAGAGAGAGAGAGAGGAGTCGTGCTTTTAGCCGCGAGAGCTTTAAGCTTGCTTGGGGACGATCATTTTTAATCACGCGGAGACGGAGGGCTAGATAGAAGGAGGAAAGAACGCGAGGAGGAGAGTAGCGGCGCGTGTACCTGTGTGCAGGCGTTTTGTGCTCCCTCCTTTGTCGCAAGGGCGGCATTGTTCACGCGATTCTATAGGATCGCAGTGTCGGGGTCCTCCGCGAATTGTTTTCTTCGCGAATCTTGTACAAGCCTTCTCTCTTTCCCTCTAGACTCGTTCCCTCTCTCTCTCTCTCTCTCTCTCTCTCTCTCTCTAGCTTCCTCTGTGTCCTAGACACGATTACGTCCACTTTCCTCGGGATTACGGTTGCCTCGTCTTTGAGAAATAGAGTTTTCGTGGTTCTTATGCACATCTCTCCGATGAGTTTGTGCATTTTCGTGTAATGAAGAATTTTAGATGGTCGCAAGAAGGTTGCATCTTTCGCATAAAGAGGTAATTGTTCTGCTCACTGCGAAATTGAATAGGACAGTTGACCCAGAGTAGAATTCAACTTCTCTTGCTTCGTGACTTTTCCTCAGTATCAATGCGGCGTTAAAAGAGAAACATTGAAATAATAGACGAAATATATATTAGCAATTGAAGAAGTCAAGCCAAAACTTTTGTCACAAAAATCCTACAAAAATTCTACAACCAAGATTTGATATTGTGAGTCAAGTGAGTTAATATATAGCACAATAGAACTAGCGAGAAAACAGAATCTAATGACAATAGTAATACTATATTGAACACAACTAATATACAATTAATAATTCATACACTTTCTGTTTTCTCCTTTGACAAAATCTTCGTAAATCTTTTTCCTTCTTCCATCCAGATTTCAAATGATGAGCACACGTCGGTCATTTAAACGCCCCGCCAGAAAAGGAAAATCAGAGGAAATTCAAACACGCATAAATCGAGCTAATAAATTAGATTTCCTCCTGAAAATCCTTTTGTAGGAACATCAAAAGATCCTTCATTTCTTTCCGGCTTGCCTTCAGCAATCGTCACACCGCATCACAAGAAACCACCCTCCCACCACCACGCCATCACCCAAAGCTGAAAACTCGGCTTCACTTCAATTGCCGTGCACGTTGCGAGAATGCGAACGAAAAATAAAAAAATACGGAACAAAGTGAAGAAGCCACCGTTTAACCAGATAAGCCACAAAACGCCGAAGCAATTTGTGCCCGTCAGAGGATTCCTCTGACGGCGAATGGTGAGGGTAAGGGATCGGGATGCCCGCCGGGAGGGAAGCGTGGAAAATGCTCGCTCCGCGGCCTGCAAGGGTTAAATAGGGTTGTCCTTCGGCAAGCGCGGCAAGAGGATGAATATTTCCTCCGCTCTCCTGACTGTCCCTCTCCTTCTGCTTGGCTCGTTTCAACGTCGATGAGTGCGCGCAAAACCGACAAGTCGTTTCTTTAACGCAGGCGAAAGAACGAAGGAAGGACGAAGAGCGACACTGAAGAAGAAAGAGAAAGAAAAAGTAGAGAGAAAGAGAGAGAGAGAGAGAGAAGAATAAGAGAGGCAGATAGATAGAAAGAGAGACAGAGGCTACCGGGAACCGGCAAAAATACTTCATTACGATGAAAGCTTTGCTCCTACCTTCTCAAGTCTTCTCTCTTCCCAACCCCTTCGCCACCCTCGCCTACTCTTTCTATCTTCATCGACCATGTGTTTCGCAATCTCTCGGTTTTCGTGTTTGCACGTACCTACATCCGCCACCTCTCTTTGTCGACTTTCCTCCCCGCCCCTCGCGTGTCCAACGAGCTTCTCCTCCTCGTTTTCATTTCTTTTTTTTTTTTTTTTCGACGTACAACCAACACGTGAAAATGCGTTTCTCGCATTGTGCGAGTTGCGCGGCGCGTTTCTCGTTTTCTTTTTTTTTTTTTTTTTTTAAGGGGCGTAAAAAATGCATACTATGACTTTCCTACGTCCCTCTTCTCGTTAATGTCCATTGTGTAAATGAACGTACAATGGACGTTTGTTTTTTCTCTTCCCTCCTTCTTTTCGTTCTTTAGCTTTCCAGATTGAGAGACAAAGGGAGATCCATTTCTTCATGGTTTGGTATTTCAATTTTCGTTGAGGATACTGCCTCGTGAACTTGCATCTGCCTGACACGTGCAAAACATTTTTTACTACTACAACTCAACTGAATTTAGGGTTGCCTTGAAGCAATAGCGGTTCTCATTGTTCCTGCTTATTAGTCCTCTCTGAAATTAAGCCTGTCATTGTCTCTGAAGTCTAATCTCGTTGGATATCAAATTCGTACAAGTCGTATAAATTTCTTCTGAAATCTAGAATTCAAATTTGTTATATAAACTTTAGTTTAACAATAAGTGATTTTCCAATGGGAAAGTTATCAAGCATCAACTTGACGAAAGTTTGAAATTCGAGACTATATAGGCGGGATACTGCTATTATTAGTACCAAGATAAACACAGTCATTTCTCCGTAAATAGAGCAATTCAAACGCCTATCCTTGAGAGGGAGAGAAGGCGCAGTACTTTGGTCAGTTCAAGGTACGCGTGCAGAAAGGTCAGGGTACCGTTTGGTATTTCAAACTGTCCCCTAAAACAACGTTAAAGATACGACGCTTATGTACCAAAATATTATTTTCAATAGCAATTGTTTTCTGCAAATTATCTCTTAATTATTTTTCTATTTGGATACAATTCTCTCACCGTTATCACTCTCCGTACTCTTAATAATTAATTTCTGTTCTAGGTGAATCCGGACTAGGAAAATCAACTTTGATCAATTCGATGTTCCTCTCTGATATATACAGTGCCGAGTATCCTGGCCCTAGCCTTAGGGTTAAGAAAACCGTAGCCGTAGAGACTAGCAAAGTGTTGTTGAAGGAGAACGGTGTAAATCTCACTCTGACTGTCGTCGATACACCTGGATTTGGCGATGCAGTCGATAACAGCAATTGGTAATTTCAAGTTGTACATCTTGTTACATTTCTACACCTTGCTATTATATCTTTCAAGTTGTACACCTTGTTATATCTTACACTTTTTACACCTTGTCATCGCACAAATAAGATAATTATTTTATTTATATTATTATTCATCATCATTGTTGTTATTATTATTATTATTATTATTATTATTATTATTATTATTATTATTATTATTATTATTATTATTATTAATCCTTTAGTCTGTAATGTGGAGATGTATCAATAATAAGGTCTTTCATTTATAAAATTCAAAATACATTCCAAATAATATGAATTGCACTTTAGTTGTGTATAGAATTAAACTACAGAGATGAAGAGATAGAAGATATTTTTATTTCTTTCTCTCTCTCTCAATTGAGTTCTACAATCTGGAACCAGATGTATAAATAATAAATTATAATTTATAAAGTTCAAGATACATTCCAAATAATATGAATTGCACTTTAGTTGTGTATAGAATTAAACTACAGAGATGAAGAAGATATTTTTATTTCTTTCTCTCTCTCTCTGAATTGGATTCTATAATCTGGAACCAGATGTACAAATAAATTATAATTTATAAAGTTCAAGATACATTCCAAATAATATGAATTGCACTTCAGTTGTGTATAGAATTAAACTACAGGGATGACAGAAGATACTTTCGTTTCAGTTGGGTACCAGTGATCGAATATATCGAATCAAAATACGAGGAGTTCCTGAACGCCGAGTCTCGCGTTGTGAGACGGCAGATCCCAGACAGCCGAGTACATTGTTGCCTGTACTTCGTCGCACCCTCGGGTCACGGTTTGAAACCGTTGGACGTAGAGTTTATGCAGCGTCTTCACGACAAAGTTAACATTATACCTGTCATCGCGAAGGCGGACACCATGACGCCAGATGAATGTGCTCATTTTAAGAAACAGGTTCGTATTATCATTATTATTGAGAGTAAAACCGGTTGTAATCACATATCGATGTACGAATAAACTTGTTAAAGCCTCTCGCTGCTTTGCACGATCATTGCCGATGGCGTGTCTAAATTATTACTCAAATTATTAATACGTTAATGATGTATTTTTAGCAATCAGCTTGTTAAAGAAAAAAAAAAAAAAAAAGAAAAAAGGAAATGAAATCTTTGAACATTGAAGTTAGAATTCCTTGCTGTTGATTTTTTTAGATTTTGAACGAGATAGCGCAACACAAGATCAAAATTTACGAATTCCCGGAAGTGGAGGAGGAGGAAGAAAATAAACTGCACAAAGTTCTCAGAGAAAGAGTACCGTTCGCAGTTGTGGGTGCAAATACTGTGGTCGAGCACGATGGCAGGAAAGTTCGTGGAAGGAAATATCCTTGGGGGATTGCAGAAGGTATACAACTCCGGGGAGTTTCTTCATATTTTTTTTTTTTTTTTTTTTGATTTTGTCAAATTTCGAGGAAATAACACGTCTGTTTTTTTCTTTTCTTTCTTCACTCTATAGTGGAAAATTTGGAACACTGCGATTTCATAGCGCTGCGAAACATGGTGATCAGAACGCATCTGCAAGATTTGAAAGACGTGACAAACAACGTGCACTATGAGAATTTTCGATGTCGCACGTTAGCCGGCATCGGAGTCGATGGAAAACCAACAAAAGTTTCCAATAAGTAAGTGTATCCTTCATACACGGTTATTTACAACGTAAGACTGTTGAAAAAGAAACATGTGTAATTAATATGTATACTAGGACTAAAAATAGGAAGATTAACGGTATTTGAAGATCCCAGAAAACAAAATTGACTTCTTCTTATTTTCTTTTTTTTTCTTTTTTGTTTTTTTTTTATTTTGTTTCAAAGCAGACAATACTAAATACTTGTAATTTTATATTCGTTTCTTTTCTTTCTTTTTTTTCTTTTTTTTTTCCTTTTATATAGTACAGTTTAAAAAGCTTGTGCATGCAAACTATTAAAAGATAAAGATTACCTCTATGAATCGTATGTTTGAATCAGATATATGATAGTCAACTTATTAATACATTGTAATTTAGGCTAGAAACGAAAGTGATCCTGAAAACACTTTTTTTAATAGTATATCTTACACGTAAAATGTTAATACTGATTTCTTATTGGTTAGTTTGTGCCCTCCAGGAGTGATGAACAGTTTCATGACAGTGTGGTAAGTCTTTTAATAAGACCGGGATCATGTAATATAGTTTTGTGTGCACAAGCCTCTTCAATTTCTATTTTCTGCGTGTTTATTTACTTTAAGGGGGGTTCACCCTGTCGATATATAAAGGATGCCTGAAATTTAATGAGATAAGGGGGAATAATTTAAGGAGATGTTAACATCAATATTTTAAATCTGACTTATGCAATGTGTGTGAACTTCTACACAGATTATATTGATAGTGAACCCTCTGATTTTGAACATTTACTTCAAATAAGTAGATTGCATTATAGTGGCTATAAACCCTTTGTGTTAGTTATTTTTAGTACTATTGAACATATAACAACATCCAAATCCACTTAGTTTTTAGTCCATATTAGCCCATATTTTCAATAAACGTTGCCTCTTTTTACTTGCATTTTAATTTTTCCATCCTTGTCAAGTCTGAAGCTATTATGATAATTTTATTTTGCAATTCCCCATATATGTAGATAGCTTACCCTCCAAAGAAATGTAACCTAAATGATTGGTAATATAAAACTTTCATGAAATATGTATCTTCGCGCGATGAAATATTGTTAAATCTGAATCATTTGTACGTACGTTTGTAGGAATCCATTGGCTCAGTTGGAAGAAGAGAAGAGGGAACACGATAATAAAATGAAGAAAATGGAGATCGATATGGAGCAAGTGTTTGAGATGAAAGTCAGAGAAAAGAAACAAAAACTCAAAGATTCAGAAGCAGACGTAAGTGTTGTCTGACTATTATGTGCATTTTTATATGAAATTGTTTTAATTTTAAGGAAAAATTTATTTTTATCGTAGCTGCAAAGAAGGCACGAACAAATGCGACGCTCCTTGGAACAGCAAGTGCGTGAATTAGAGGAGAAGAGACGAGCATTTGAAGCTGAAAAGTTAGCATGGGAACAACAGACTGGGCACAGTATTGAAGAATTACGTAGGCGCAGCCTAGAAGCTAATTCAAAAGAGTAAGTATCGTTTAAATGTAAAAGGTTTGCTTCTGGTTGTCCACATTTTCATAATTGTCACGTTATACCATTTTTGATGTGAAAGAATTTTATATATGAAGAAGAGAAATTGCTCCTTGCACGAACGGAAAGGTATTTTGTAAATTACCAAGTCATAGTTTTATATTTATCGTAACTAGAGAAATAGTATAGCTGGACAGTAATGTTTTAGTAAGTATATACTCACATACTTATCGAACCAGATGATTTACATGATATTCTTCATTTGAAATATTTTTACATTGCTTAAATCTTTGCTTTGAGAAATCATTTGGCTAAACATGTGCAATAAAAGCATTTACATAATAAGCTTGTAGGCATAATCGTATTTTATTGTGATTCACTACTACTAATCTCAGTTACGATTGTTGATTACTTTCTCTCCTTGATTACGTTCTCTCTTGGCAAATTTGGCCAATCTATTTTCTCAAAATTTACGTAAAAATAATAGATTTTTCATGCAGGAAAAGTAGTTTAATAGCAGGAAATTACTAATAATTATTAATAAGCATGTACAACGTTAACCATCCTTCTGAACTTAATTGACGTTCATTTAACGTGCATTCATTCAACATTAATTCAACATCATTCCGTACATTCCCTGACAAATTTGTCTCGTTTGAAGATGATTAGTTTTAACAGGCATTTGTTAGACTAAATCGCTCAAAATATTATTGCTTCCAAGCTTTCTTTTTTTTTTTCCTTTCTACGCGATTAATCTTTTTCAAAATTGCTTCTCAAATACGTGGAACAAGAAAAGATCATTTCCACATGTATGTTACATGTCTGCTTCTTGAGCAGATTTTAAATAATTCATATTCTCTCTCAAAAAANTTTTCTTTTTTTTTTTTTTTTTTTAAGGAGCGACAATGCACACCGTAAAGTATTTTAGAGAGGAAGAAGAGGAAGGAGAGCGGTGGACACACGAAGGGGAATTACGACGATCGATGCAGACACGAGAGACCTACTCGGTAATCACCTCTGAGTAATTGAGTTAGGAATAGGACGATCACGGTACTGCGAATTACTTCAAACGTCTCGTCCAGGGAGATAGAAACATAGAAATTTTGCGTAACAGAATTCACGCGATTCTGAGAGAGAGAGAGAGAGAGAGAGTTGCAAGAAAGACATTCATGCGTAATCGACACAAACTTTTTACAACTTGGATCGACAGGCAGTAAATATATTTACCAACTTTTTTAGCACAGTATTGTGTTATACTTTAATCTCTAATTTCTTAACTTGCCGAATATTTACAGCGTTAAATACTCATAAGTGTTCAAAATTATCACGAGGCGAGATTTTTGACTTGTTAGTAGCAGTGAATAAGATCGTTTTTCACTTAATAAACAAGAAAGTCTGATTAACTGCTGCAACTATTTAAATAATTCTGAGACGAGTGTTGGCAAAACTTGAAAAGATTCAAAGTTAAAAAAAATTTATCCAATACCTGTATTCCTAACTAGCTTTCAGATTCTTAAAATACCTTTTCACATCTAATCCAAAATTTCGCAAAGATTAAAATGCTCTTAGAACAATCGAGACAAAATATCCATTTCGATGTATCTCTTCACATTTGCAAAAAAGTTGAAAAGCTACTGAAAAACAAAATATCCATATAAATTTCCCGAGCACCACACCGAAATCTACCCCGTGCCTCGAGCATGAATTCGAAACCCTTGAGAAACTTTTCATTGCCATCCACAGTGGGTCTAATCGATTCTCATTCAATTAACATCCGCCCTAACTCGTCTCAGAGGAAATACGGCCCCCTGCCACCCTAGGTGTCCCCTCGAACCGAGTAAAACCTTCCGTCTAGCTAGAGAAAGGACCGTCGTCCACGCAGAGAAAGGAACGAGAAGTTTTGCGCGTGAAGGAACGCGGGGACGTCCAATAACCAGATTGGCTTCCCCCGGTTGGACTCGCGTGCTCGATACAGGGCTCCAATCTCGCTTCCGCCATAGTTTTCGCCGGAGGATCGCGAGTACGTGTCCGAACGAACGGCTGGGAAGATAAACGCGGACGTTTGTCCGCTAATCGACGTCGTAAAACCGACGTTGCCTGTCGATGACGTTTCATCGAACGTCTACACGTACCGCCGACGTGATCGTAATTGCGTGCACATCGCGCGAGCAAACGCGCGAGAAAACGCGACAGCTTGTTCGCTACGTTGATCACGAACGTCGGGTTTCATCGATTCTTCGCGGAGATGCGGATGCGAGTTTCGAGCTACGAGTCCTGGGCATTTGATTAAATACGTCTGCTTCAACGGCGAATGTACATACCACTGCGAGAAGTCGCATTCGCCGGATGACTATTTGATGTTTCGAGTTTTGTCGTCGTTGGCTTTCGTTTCAGTCGGTTGGATTGAAGTTCGAAGGGACGTGGATGGGTGATTGGGAATTTTTTATAGCTGGATAATGTACATTGAGGTGTGATTCGATCTTCTTGCTAACATTGGATGATCTACAATGACACTTTTTATTGAAAGGGGGAATATTAGAATGCAATCTGCTCCTTTGCGCTGAGTTGAGAACGAAAATGTAGAGGGAACTGTTATAATTAGAAAGATTGTTGAGTTTCAATGGGTTGTCAATTATGTTGGAAATTTTAATTTATCTCTGGCAAGCAACGACTGTTACTTTGCGACGATTCATAAGAAAATCAACGACAGTGGTAATTTCCCGTATCAAATCTTGCTGCTGCTGCAAGAAAGTTGATTTTTATCCCGAATCGAAATTCCCATTTAGAAACAATTTCGAGGCGTTGGACAAGCACGCGCGTTTGCTCAGGCTTGGCAAATACCATCAACTTTTAGTTGGTTAACTGTTCAGTTGGTTCGAGAATAGAGAGAAAGAGAGAGAGAGAGAGAGAGAGAGAGAGTGCGTGAAGCCGCGCGTGCATTCAACTAGTTAGTTGGACAACTAAAAAGTTTGCACTCCACGTTGCAAGCCACGGCCAACTAAACGGTTGGTCAACTGCGGCACAGCTTTTGCGTTCGAACGCGCTTATGGCAACGAGTAAATAACTGACCACTTCGCGCGTCTCCTCGTTGCATCCCTTATTCATCACTTTGTGTTTCTCCAAACGATTTACTCGATTGTTGCGAAGAATGGAGGAAACTTTTAGTTGTTACACATAATGAAGAATTTAAATGGAAAAAATCGGGCTGTTTTCATCACAGTAGCCTGTATTTCGAAACGATATATAAAATTAACAAGATTGAGTTTGCCTTTTTTAGAGAAATTTTTAAAAGAATCTCATCAAATGGAATTTGTAAGTCTGTGTAAACCCGCTCAAGAGTTCTAGAACAAGCATTATGTTTATTTTGTCAAATAATATAACAAAGACTTTGTAAAATTCTAATGTATTAACAAATGTATCGTATAAAGCTTTCATTATTTTTACATACGATAGTAAAACTATTCAAAGATAGTAAAACTCAAGAACAGTTCCATATTATATACGATAGTAGAAACTTTTGAAAAAGAGTATAAATATCGAGTCTTATTTGCCAACAAGAAAGCTGAGTCGATGTGTAAATAAACTTCGAAGCTAGGACTTTCGAGTGAAAAAAACAGCAAAAAATTCATTCCACAAACAATCGTTTCTGATCAGTCAAAATTTCATTCATCCGCGGCGATAAACTCCTATCGATATCAACCCTAAAAATCGTTGCACGCGAGGACGCTAGAGCTCGCGAGTTAACATTTTCCCTGGAAACCGCGAGAAAGCTGTTGAAGGAAAGCGGATCGCAGCAACATTCCACAGCCGGGATTCCAACGAGCGAAACCGTTAGAGCCTTCCCCTCGGTGTACATCGGTTCCTCTGAATCTTTTGTCGATTTGTAGTACGGAGGAGAGTAGAAGAACGAGGAAGGAAGAAAAGCGAATGGCACGGTGGAAAAGGGACAAGCAAGCCCAAAGAAGGAGAGACTCGCGGGGTCGTGGAAACGGAGGTGGAAGTGTACGCGAGAGGGTGGTTACAGGATGAAATTTGCAAATGCTCCGACAAGCCAGCTACGAGGAACTCGGGGGGGGAGGGGGTGGCGGTGGAGGAAGGAGGGAGGCGAGCAGAGGGGTAGCAAGAGGGTTGTATATCAAGCAGAAATGTGCGCGGTGCCAGGGATATGGCGGTAAAAGAGCGACGAAAAAGTGTCGCTTCGACAAAGGGTGCAAGCTGGAGAAGAAAAAAGGGGGTGGAAGCGAAGGATGGAAGGAGAAAGAGAGCAAGAGAGAGAGAGAGAGAGATCGAAAGGGTGGAGGAAGAGAGTAGAGAGAGAGAGAGAGAGAGAGAGAGGTAGAGGAAACGGAGGGGGTGGAATCCCGCGGCAGAGGGAGGTGGTTCGAGCGTGCGCGCATCATTTTTGCCGAGGAGCAGGCACTTCCCTTATTCGTCGTCGCCGGGGGAACGCCGGAGAGAAACCAGGGGGGGGAGGGGGGTTGAAGATCCGAGGCGAGGAAGAAAATGACGGATAAAGAAGCTTCGAGGGGTGGCTGCGGGAACGGGCTTTGTCGATTCCCGGGTATTTAACGGAAATACCAACCGGAATACCTTCGTCCCCGTTCGTCTTTATCTCCTTCTTCTTCTTCTTCTTCTTTTTTTTTTTTTTTTTTTCATCACGGCTACACTGCCTTCCCTCTCCCGACCCTCGTTGTCCTCCTTTCTCTCTGTCTTTCTCAGCGTTTCCTTTCTCAGCGTACCGTGAGCAACGAATAATCCGAGCGTGTGTCGCGAGACTCGCCGAACCGACCGCGAGCAATCAAGCGATTTTTAAAAGCCTGAATGGCTGAGGATGATGCCGTTCTCGCGGCCTCGTGTTTACGAAAAATTGTACGTATATGTGTGTGTATAAGTTCTGGAGAAATTGTAGTAGTTTGATTGTTCGAATGTGTGCCGTTTGGTTGCTCGACTTTTTACGTAAATATTCTTTTTCTTCTTTTTCCCTCGGAGTAAGAAAGGTGACTTTCTGGGTGTCTTTTTATACAGCGGTAGGTTTAGTTTCACTAATTGCACGTAGAAGCAAGAGGCCGGTATACGGCGGCTGGTTTCCGGATAATGAGAATCGCGATACACGCTTGTGTCGACGCGGAGTTTTTTCACTCGAATTATTTCGGATCGTACGAATGTTTATTTCGAATCCTGGTCGACAAGTATATCAGCACGCTTGGAGAATATGGAGATGATCTTTTTTCCTCGATTCAAAAATTTGTAAACTTCCACGTACAATCGTTAATACTGTCTTCTATCACTCTTCGATGAGCGCAACTCTGATCGATGAATCGATTCTTTGAAAACTGTTGTCTGCGTAAATTTCACGATACACGATAAAGTTTCTTCCTCGCAAGAGAATTTGGACACGGACGCGTGCAATTTCAATCAAGAAAAAGATTTTCTCACTCACCGAGCCTTTTGGAGATCTCTGAGTTGTGCATCTTCGGATTCTCCTGGGCGATCTTCCGCCGTTGTAGCCGAGACCATACCATGAACGCGTTCATCGGCCTCTTGATGTGCTCTACCTGCACTTTCTTCGCGGCGGAGCCGAGAGGGCTGCCGAGGCCAACCCCCATGGGACCGACTCCCGCTCCACCCGGCGGCGACGTACCCGGCATACCCTGCATACCGCGCAAGGTCTCCGTGAACGAGCCGTCGCACATGTTGCCGCCGGCTCTGTAATTAAACGCAGCCACCAATTAGTAAGACCAACGGCCACGTTAATAGGGAGACACGCCCACGTGAAAACAACTGCGACTACCGACAGTCCGACTGACCGGACCAAACTAGCGAGACTACTCCTGGACTTGCGCCCTTTCCACCATACCAACGCACACCAACGCAAAGATCTGCGACACTGTGTGTGTCTATTGTCTCGAGAGTGTCAGAGACGGTGATTTACGATCTTCGCGACGTCATTTAGTCCTTTGCCGGGTTGTTTAGGACACATCTTCGGTGAAAAGATGGTCCGGTAGGAGCTAGTATTGTCTGAGGAAGGTCGTCACGTTTCTAGAATTTCCGAATGTTACGGAGATTTCGATGAAGTTCAGGAGGATTTTTTCGTTGGGGTATTGTTGAAATGGCTCGGTGAAAGCAGAGACGATAACTCTTCTCGACAATTTGGATTTGAGTTTGGATAATTACGAAGATACTTTCCTTTGATAAGATATTAATCAGTTATGAAATTTTATAAACATTATGAATGTTGTAAGTCTGGCTTGAAATTTAGAAACGTAGGCAGTTAGATGGAAGTTATCCTTTCAAAGTGCATTTTTGAATTTACTTACATGGAATGTTTCTTTCAAATTTTCTGGAAACGTGATTAGAAATAAATTGATGGTATTCTGTAATAATTATATAATTAGAAGTAAACGATAGAATAATTTACGACAAATGTTATTCGATAAATTTTTTTTCGAGTATTTTTCCCAGCAAGTATATTTGTGATAGGATTATTAGAAATTTGATTTGAAGAACTGGTTGAAAACGCGAAGTAACATCAGAAGGAAGTAAAGACCATCTCTCGTTGACTGTTAAATTGAATTTGAACGCAACTTTTGAACATAACCGAAGTGTGTAAAATTATTTTGAATAACACTTCGCGTCACGTGTAATGTAGTTTTAAACGACGAACGTATCAATCTTCCTGATGCCCAATTTACCACCCTGTTCTCATTTTTGTGCACCGTTGGACATGAATTTCCAATTGTACGAGCTATGGACGAAATTAGTACCGTCGCAAACAATCTTTCAAACGACTCGCTGGCAATTTTCTTTTCACCGACACTAAGGAGCCGCGAATCCTAACGTCGCACTCTGTCAGAAGGAGATTAAAATCATTAAGAAAGTGCTGAATAACCTTCCAAATTGACAGACTTGTTACATCAATCATCGTTTCATTCATCTCGGCGCAACAAGTTACTTGACCAAACTCGCAAACATTCGCCTTTCACAGCCGATCGCGAAACAACAACTCCAAAACGAAACGGTACGCCAAAGAGGAACAAAATGCCTCTGCATGAAAGATTAAAAATAAAAATTACACGCTGTTAATGTCGGAGAGGACTTTCTGGAAGAAGAATTAGAGCGAATAAGTGTGAACTTTAATTTACAGTATTGAATCGATAATCGTAATTACTCACTTTTAAAATATCGCGTCCTATTTTGTATCTACAAAACAAAAATTGCAGGATAATTCAAGTATTTATCTGAAGACATCATAGGAGTATAGATTTCTTTTTCAAAAACTTCTTGATAAATTATTCGAATTAAATTACAATCAACAACGGTCTCGCTCAAAGATTGTAGAGCACCAATTTTTCGTAAAATTTCGATATTTAGTCCAAATTGTGAATTTTGAATTATGTGTAATTTTTTTTTTAATAAAATCGTAGTTATATTAACTGTGTACATATTCTTTTATCACATAATATTATATATTGCTCTTTTACATCAGTATTACTGTTTACAACTTTTGGCATAACATAACCCGAGACTCACTCAGCAAACACAATACTACAAGTTTCACACTTTACAATATATTATGTCCCATTATTCGGCGATAAATATGACAAGCCGTGGTGAAATTTTTAAACGCGAGTGTACCGTCAATCAAACCGAAAAGCTGACACCTATAATTATCCAAGAGCAGCATTCTCGGAAATCCTTCATCTACAAATCGCGTGAAAAGGGAATTTGTGCCGGTCACTGGTATAATAACTTCAGGCAGTAATCCGCAAACACGAACGCACAGGCACGCGTGAAATCCTACGCGTACATATACGTACACGCGTTCCAACATTCGTATTCGTCGGTTTTAATTGTGCGCCAGCGACACGCAGAAGAACCGAGCGAGGGCACTCGTGCAGCCACTCCTCACGGTCCCGGTAATTGCTTATTCGTTTGCTCTTTGATTCATAAGCAAATTAATCTTATCCTTTTCTCGTATCAAAGCCATTAACCAATCTCGCCGCGTTACTGCCTCTCCTCTCTCTCTCTGTCTCTCTCTCTCTCTCCCGTCTTTTTACCCTAAATGTCACCCTTCGTTTAGGGTGTGCTCTCCCTCTTAACCTTTTCTCTCTTTCCTTACGAAAACCCAGTCACTACCAAAATCTCTCTCTTTCTCTCTCTCGTTTCCTCCCTCAACGTGTTCTCTCCTCTCGAACTAACACAATTACGCGGATCTCCTTGAGCATTCATTAAGAAAAAAAAAAAAAAAAAAAAAAAAAAAAAAAAGAAAGAGAAAAGAAAAAAAACCTGTAGTGGTTGAGGGAGTTAACCCCGGGGGCGGTAGTTACGATTTTGTAGGGTTAGAATCACCCTCGGGTCCGGGGCCACCCTCGAGTGTCATTCAGGCCGGATTAATAGATACGTTGGTTAGAGAGACGTTCGGCGGTTGGGGGTGGAACGGGGAGAAACGGGGGTGAAACGGAGCAGCGTGGCTGCTCTAGAGAGGCCCCAAGGGTGCTCCGTGGTGGTTCAACGGAGAGAGAGAAGATGCTGGAAGTAATGGCTGTTGACAAGCTGCGACGGGGGATTAGGAAGTGCTAATTGAATGTTTAGGCAACGAACGACAATAGCGGTGCACGCGGCAATTTATTGCCTCGAGCCAGCTAGATCTATCTCGCGTGGACGAAATTACGCTCGTTTAGCCGTTCTCGCAGTGACGAGCGCAACTTTTCGCTTCACATCCCAACGCCAGAGGTGGGGAAATCATTGCAAAAGGCTTGAGCGTTATTCGTACTCGACATACTATTATTTCGAAAAATTACGTACGAAACTACAAGTGAAACGTTCGCCATGGAGAAACGAATTATTGACACGGTCCAGAGTTTGGCCTTTGCTGGAGGTATATCGAGACTAATTGGCCTGCCAGCCATGTTGATAAATATAGCTCGTGTTTATAGGTATGTTCGAAAGTGGATTAGGCCGATTGAAAACATTCGCGTGAATGTTTCACGACAGTGGAAATTATGTTTACACGATAAGATTAAATTCGTGTTATATTTGCGAATATTCATTAACTAGTAACTTAGTGCGCATAATATTTGGCGAACTTGTCGATGTGTATTCACTTCACGAATTTGAAAGATTTCTAAATCAATATGTTGTAAGAATCGACATTTTGAACAACTTTTTCTTGTCTGTAAATTTGTGTCTGTAGCAGCGTATGTATACAATAATCTAAGCCAAACATGTTGATTATGCTCACGATCGCGATAAACGAGTCTCAACGTGTTTTGTTTTTCGCGAATGTCTCGGAACCTACATTCGACCGCATTGTATGTATATACAAGAAGAATTGTTCAAAATGTCCATTTCTTCAAAGCTCGTCAACGCTCGTCGACAGCTTAACCACAGTATTTGGTAAATGAATTTCAATTAATAATACGACGTCGCCATCGGACTCAAAGATACTTGGGGGTATGCTACACTCTCACGAAACAAACAAACAAACAGAGATGACCGATAGACATCGGTTTGACAAACTCACCTCATAAAGTGGCCGGCGGCTCGTTGGTGCAAGTCCAGCTCAATTTTGCTGCCGTGGTTGAGACTCTCGTCTCGTCTCTGGTCCTTAAGTAAAATACGTCGATCGGAACGGAAAACCAACAGAAAACAACCAAGTAAAAGCAAGTCACTGCACTGCCATATCAGGCCATCCACTGTCTCAAAAGAAATCACTATGCTCCACGGTTCAAACACTTTCCTTTTCCCCGGATCCTGTCTACCGATCAGACATTCTCGTCGCGACACTGAACACGGTCCAACGGCATCAGTCGCCACCAGAAGGGAAACGGAACAATTGTCAGATAGTCGAGCGCGTGAGAAACACGGGGAACAGTGTCTCGGAAGGAACGGTTGTCGCGTCCGGAAGCGACGCACGAGGACGAGCACGACGTGCTCAATCTGCCTTCACGAACGTTGCTTTTGGGAGTGTGCACGCACGAGCCGACTCCTGCCGCCGATCCATGGACTTGGCGCACAAGTCTACCCCTACTGACGGGATCCAAAGGCAAAAAGAGCGGGGAAGCCAATCGGGTGTTGTCAGAGGCGGAGCCAGCGAAACAACCGCGGTATCTCTAAGCCTTTCGGTTGGCTAAAATTTCGAGGTTGTCGATAACGAACCATCCTGCGTTCGTCCATTCTCCCCTCCACAAACTTGCTTCGTGCTCCTCTTTCGTGGCTTCAATTTTCTCTCCTCGTCCACCTCTGCCACTCACCCTCCCGCGTTTCTCCTTGTTTCGCCACTCTTTCCAGGAACTCGCAACCGCCACGCGAGAGATTTCTTCCTGAGACAGCTGGTCACCGGTCTTTCTCTGCAAAAATTTCGGAGTTCGGGAACGTGAGCATTCCTTTTTTTTTTCTCTCTCTTTTTTTTTGGAGTAAATGTTTTTTTTTCGGAGCACAAGAGTTTGGAGTAAGAAGAAATTGGGATTGGGGGATGTTGGAGGGTTGATGGAAAGCTTGGAACGTTAATGGTATTTTTATGCACGTGAAATTAGTTTTCGTGGGTGGATCTACAGCAGTCGTAAATGTCCCATAAACGCGTGAAATGAGCAATGATTAGCTTCGAGGAAAGCAATACTTGATTCTACTTTGATTTCAGAAGATTACTGCCTAATTTCCTCTATAAATCATTTACCTATGTATGTTAGTGCTCCAAAATGTTTTTCACGGCTCGACGAAACCTCATTCGTAGATTTTACAATAATTTTTGACCCTCGTTGTAATGGAGTCTGACCTGTTTACGTCCGTGTAATGCACCGTGTATCGTCGCGAGGGGTGGGTCAAACCCTCGCAAGAAACAGAGATGGAGAACTCGCAACGAGACCGAACACGTAGCGAAAGAGAAAGAGAGAGAAAGAGATGAATCGAGGGTGGGCGAGCTAGAACATGGAGCCAGGTAGAGTAGCTGCTACCACCACCTCCGCGAGCACCGACCACGGGTACCAACCGATCCAGCCCATGCGTGGTGGGGACATCGTTGAAGAAGGTGGGACGATTCGAGATGGTGGCCGTTGATATTACCGAGTCGAATTCGAAAGAACGCTGCTAAGAATGGAAATAAGAATGTGACTTCTCTCTTTGATACCACTCAACGTTTTCCTCTCCCCCTCTTAGCAACACCAGTTCCACTACCCCCTTGGGTTAGGTTCGCCTGGTAGACCTTGCTCCGGCGGCGGTGCATAGTACCTTTTCCCTCACTCGGCTGTGTTTCTCTCGCTTCGACCAAAGAGGAGGATATTGTGCTTTAGATCTACGAGGCAACCCGCTCTCCTCTACAAAATGGTAGCTCACGGCGTTTTGCTCTTTTAAGCGGTTGGATAGCGGGGGGTTTCCATGTACTGCACCCCCCTCGGCGCGCACGGGGAGCGTGTCGATAAGTGTGAGCTACGAATAGCAATAGTTCCCGGAAACTTCACTGTACGGCACGCGTAACGAAGAATGGACCTCGTGGTCTCGCGTTGCATTTGGTGGGAGCGGTGGTTGTTTTTGCAGTCCGTTGCTTTTAAGAGATCTATGAGAAGAAAGTTGAACGGTACGACATGTTTGCTAATGAAAAGTCTGTGACGCGCGTTCGAATTTTCAGTGACTGTTTATATCACAGAGGGATATATTTGGTACGTGTAATGATTCGGTAGTATTCGAACAGATTTTTGAGAAATGGAGTAATTACTTTAGAATGAACGCAAATATAGTAAGATTACAAATATTTAATACAAAGAAATTATACAGTAGCTAATTACTGAACGTTACCGCTTACTCTCGCTTGGTAATGAAAATTCTGAAGTTTAAGCGAAGTAAGAACGAATGATAGTAATCTCAATGGCATAGCTCAAATCGAGGATCTCGAACGAAAGATCAGAATGGTAAGTGATGGAATCGTGACAGACAGGCACAATCAAGCGATTTCATCGTTTCCACGTACCAGTGAAAAGGTTCCAAACTGACGGCGCGAAGTGGCGTCAATTACAAAAGAATTTATAGACCGTCCGTTTTCTCTATAGACACTCGATTCCACCCTCTCTCGCGTCCATCGATCGCCTCTTGTTTATTCCCAAGTGGCGCGAGAGGGTGAGAGGCAAGCCAAAAAGAGGGGACCGACGCGTTTCGGGACCCCCACTCCCCCCTCCCCCCATTCTCGCTAATCTGATAATTTCATCGACACTGATCATTTTCTGTGCGACCAACGTTCGTCGGATTCGATGATCCGAACGATCCTGTAAACAGAAATTATATTCGATCCGGGGAACGAGCTCATCGGCGATCTCGCCGCATTAAACGCGATGATTCGCGTAACTCAGCCAATAAACGGTGTTGTCGGAGCAACAGCGTGCTCGTTCGGCTCTTTCCACGTGTAAAAACGTAATTTGCCCGCAATTTCCGTGGAAAATTGTCGCGCGGCCCCGTTGTTAGGAACAACATTAGCGGTGGTCATTGATTTGCCCGTACGAAGGTATAATTGCCAGCCCGTGTACGAGCAAATTTCAACGTTCTTTTAGGAAGAAACGATAGAGTTGCGTTGTATAGACTGTTTGATGGGAAATTAAACTACCTGACGTGCCTTTTTTTTTGTATAGTAAAACGTATATATAAAAGTGAAATAATATTCTTGTACGATTAAAATATTGCATTCTTATTTCACCTCGTACTGAAATCCTATTTCTATTCTCTTGTCACTTTTAATTTTCCAAAAAATCTCCAGACAGATCCAAAAGATCCATAGTGTTCTCCTCCCGAAAAGTCGACGAGAAACGATTGAAAATCAGTTCACCACACCTACCCTTATCACGATATGACATCGATCGAGAGAAAAATCCCAGTGTGCTCTTGCTAAACAATCAATTCAGAAACTCGTGATTCGCGGCGGTGTTTATCACCGACGAAGATTTATTTCCCCTGTTTCCACGGGCGTGCAGCACGTGCTGACTCCCCGTAGCACGGACCAGGGTCCCGCCGATATTGTTGTACGCGTCGTGGAACATGTAACGTATGAATATCTAATGCACCCCATCCACAATTAAATTCAGACAATATGTTTTGTTTCGAGAGGGGCCACCACCCTCGAAGTAACCAGGGAGGGGTCTCCCCGGCTGTGAATCAGGGACCTTACCCTTCGGGATCCACCACCGTTGAATAACGCCCCAAGTGTAAATCTCACGCTGTACACGCCGATACGACGAGAGGCGATAATAACTTTCGGGGCAAATCGCGCCAGACCGCAGCCTCTCCAAATTGTCTGCGCTCCACTGAAATTCAACTTGTCGACGGATGATCGTTCGCGATTACTGCCCCGAGGACCGGATCTTATTAATGGTTCGCTGGAAGGTTAAAAATGACGTAATTACGTCATCGGCGGATGCGAGGATTCTTAGAAACGTGGGAAACTGGCATGAAAATTCGGATGTACTTCAATTGTTTGCGTTCTAGTTGTTCCGAGATCGATGAGGACAGGTGCACGTGAATTTGAAATGTCCGGGAGATGAATTTGTATTTGGGGGAAAAAGATATTATATCGTAGTATAAATAATAAAGTATTAAATCGTAAATTTGTCATAGACAGAGTTTCCAGAAACATGTTTTCGTTGTTTTCCAAATTGAATATTTGGAATAGAAACAGGAAATTTAGTTTTAGTAGACTGTGGATCTTGGATATATCTATGCAATTGAAAATATTGGCAGGGAATGGATTGAAATCTACAGGGAGATTATCATGTTAAAGATTGATGCGTTTTAGAATTGACGAAGGATTTTGGATATGTCGTGTAATTTCAAATACTGATGCGAAACGAATTTGTACCATCATATTACAGATCACAGAAAATATATCATATTACGCGCACCGAATAAAAATTACTCGTTGAACACACTTGAAACCAGGCGTAGTTATTAAATATTACTGTTAGACCCGTATTTCATACTACAAGCTGCAAGAAGTTACAAAACGAAGCCAGTCGCAAATCAGAATCTGTTCGCCTCGAGTGAACATGCCATCATTATTAGATAATCCATTTAAAATCGTCAATGTTCCCAAAAATGGATTGAAAGAATACCATAACTCATTTTAATCCTCTTCACCTGACAAAACTTCCTGTTTTTTTGTCTGAACAGTTCTCGACTCAAATCCTCTTATTGGATACAGAGACAAAATCGTTCTGACAATACGATTTTCAAGTGTTTTCCGTATTCCCATAATAAACCACCAGTTAAGGAAACACATGGACCGCCTTCTAGCCACCAGTCGTTTCCGGATCAAAGATCATCTTCCGTTCTGAGGTTTCTCTTCAAAGTCCCGAAGGTAGAAACAACTAAGTCACTCTGTCGTATTGTCTCCGAAAAATCCCACAGTTTCGAGCCGCCTTATGAAGGAGAGCCTACTGCGAGACGAAAGACGGCCACACTCCGATCGGTCCTCGCATTTAAGAATTTCTGGCAAGAGTTATTCTCCATTTCTTTCTCCCAAACAGTTGAACGATGCTCTCGGACAGTAACTCTCAGAAGCAGTTATTCTCGCGAGCAGTTTTACTTTTTCAAATTTCAACGAATTACTCGCGAGAAAGCTAGAAACAGAGTGAAAAGAAGAGAGAGTGAGAAAGAGAGAGAGAGAAAGAGAGAAAATTTTTATTAGGAAACGTTCTCTTGGAGACCACAGTCGAGTAACCACCCGCGAAACGAGAGAGCAGTTTCGTCGCTAGCTGATCTCGGAATCGGCGATGGGATGTTCGAGGGATTGGCCTTGGTTTTTACAGCATTGTCTTTTTCCTTTGGCGGAGGAGCAGGTGTCGCGAGAGATAAGCACAATGGTGACAATGGACGACCACCGGTGAAACTTAGCTCGTCGAAAAGGCCAGGGTTGAATTGTCGGCGCGCAGCGGGCCGTCCTTTTTGCCGGTGGCTTGCTTGTTTCCTCCTTTGGCTGCTATCCGACCAGTGAGCATAACTTGCCCGTAACGATTTAATAAAAATGAGCTGCTTTCCTGCTTTCTGTCACACCGCCAGTCGAGTAGGATGTAAAGGATGGTTCGAGGAACCACGCTGTCTCGGAATTAGAATGAGAATGCTGGTATTAGAGGTTTTGGCGATTTGTCGAAGTTTGAAAAATAGAAGAACCTTTAGTAATCGGATTATAGTCTTGGTTACTGGTTAGTCGATGATTGAAATTCTGAAACTTCTTCCCCTTTGGAAAGACATTGGTCTTTAATTGATGGATGAGTTCGTTCGTTGTCTTATTTTCGGAAATTTGTGAGAAAAAGTTTATAAAAATTTTTTATGGACTATGGTGAATATTGCAGAGATATTCGAACTCTTCTGATTT